CTCTATACTTTTTTCAAGCCCAGTGATTAATTTTATGACTATTATTCTAAATTCTTGTTGCATTATATTGCTTAAATTGTTTTTGATCAATTCGTTAGCTGTCACTATTTCCTAGAGTTTCTTTTGAGGCGAATTCTTCCGTTTTGTCATTCTGGATAGTCCTTGGGGTGGCGCGGAACTGCAGGGCACTTCCCTTGTGCTATTTGGAGTAACTTGTGTTGGTGGGTGGGGCTGCAGTCAGACCCAATGTCTGTCCCCAACCCACCAATGGAGCCACAGTCAGACTGCTATGTACCTTATCTTCCCCTCTCCCAGGGGCAGGACTCACTGTGGAGTGGTGTGGCCCCTGTCTGGGCTACCTGCACACTGCCAGGCTTGTGGAGTTGCTTTGATGGGATCTGGCGTATTAGCTGTGGTGGATCCGCAGGGTGCACAGGGGTGGGAGGGGCAGGCTTAGCTGGTTTTGCCGCTGGTGGTCCCCTGCAGGAGGTGCCCTGCAGCACTGGGAGGGAGGCAGGCAGACCCGTTGGAGGGATGGATCCAGAGGAGCACAGCGTTGGGTGTTTGCGTGGTGCAAGCAAGTTTGGTGCCGTGAACTGGTTCCCTTTGGGATTTTGGCTGGGGGATGGGAGAGGGAGATGGCGCTGTCCAGCGCCTTTGTTCCCCACCGAGCTGAGCTCTGTCTTCCAGGGCTCAACACCTCTCCCTCCTGGCGTCCTCTCACCCTCCCCACTCTCTGAGAGCAGAGCTTTTGACTTATAAGTTCCAGATGTTAAGTCCCGCTGGCTGTCAGAACTCACACAGTCTGGTCCCTCCGCTTTTGCAAGCCAGACTCGGGGATTCCACCTTGCCGGGCGGGCTGCCCCTCCACCACCCTGGCTCCCTCCTGCAGTTCGTGTAGCATGCACTGCCTCTCCGCCCTTCGTACCCTCTTCCGTGGGCCCCTAGGATCCTTTTTAAACTAGTGTCATGAATTTCGTCAGGGCAGTTAAAAAGGAGTTTTCTAAAAGTCTTAAACAAATGGACATAAGTGTAGATAACTTAAGTGTCATAATACCACTTGGCATTGTATAATATAGCTCTTATGCTCTCAGTAACTCCTTCTGTTTGGCAATATGGATATAATGCCATGTCCCTCTCATATGACCATATGCCACATGACTGTCAAAGAGGGAGTAAATTGTAGTTGTAGATCATAAGGAGGGAAGGGTAGGAAGCCATTCTCAGCAGTGGTTCTCCATTGGGCGTTTTTGGTTGGCACTGTGAATGGGAAGAGGGTGCTACCATTATTTAGTGAGTGGTAGCCAAGGATGGTAAACATGTTGCTGTGTGTGGGGAGTAGGATGCAGTCCTGAACAGAATATTGTTTCATCTAAAGTGCCTCGGGGCGCCTGGGTGGCTCAGTCGGTTGGGCGGCCGACTTCGGCTCAGGTCACGATCTCACGGTCCGTGAGTTCGAGCCCCGCGTCCGGCTCTGGGCTGATGGTTCAGAGCCTGGAGCCTTCTTCCGATTCTGTGTCTCCCTCTTTCTCTGCCCCTCCCCCGTTCATGCTCTGTCTCTCTCTGTCTCAAAAATAAATAAACGTTAAAAAAAAATTTTTTTTAAGTGCCTCTGTGTCCTGTGGAGAAGCACTTCAAAGTGTGCTGTTGTGAGCAATCATCATTGCTCAAATTATTTCAGAAACATTTGCCAGGTGCTGCCAAAAATCATAGTTAAAATATAGTTTGCAAATAGCCAGTTGACAATATGGATGCCCACCTTTGTGAATGGTCTCCTGAGCTTTTCCCTGTTCACTCTGACACTGATCCATCAGTGGGTGGTGGTAGAGTCATAATCATTTCTCAGGCTCTAAGACTATCTGCCGTTCTTTATTTCTTGTGCATAACCATTGTTGGCCACCTAGATCAGAGGGTAAAGGTATGAAATCACATTTGTAAGTCTTTTCCTAGTCCACTCAACAGTGGATTGAAGAACAGGGTGAGTGGATAGATGAATTGAACTTGTTATTCCGTTTTTTCTTGAGATTTTTTTTTGTGATTTTTTTTTTTTGAAGAGAGAGAGTGAATGCATGCACAAGGTCCGGGGGAGGGGGTGCCACAGTCAGTTAAGCTTTTGCCTTCAGCTCAGGTCATGATGTCATTGTTCTTGGGTTCGAGCCCCACATTGGGCTCTGTGTTGATGGCTCAGAGCCTGGAGCCCGCTTTGGATTCTGTGTCTCCCTCTCTCTCTGCTCCTCCCTGCTCAGGCTGTGTCTTTATCTCTCTCTCTCTCTCTCAAAACTAACCAAACGTTAAAAAAAATTTTAAGTTAATATTTAAAAAAAAAAGTGTGAGAGAGAGAGGTAGCGGAGGTGGGTGGGGGAGAGAGAGAGAGAGAGAGAGAGAGAAGTGAAATCAGGAGTCAGTGTTTAAGTGTGATTTAAAGAGACACAGTTTGGGGCACCTGGCTGGCTAAGTCAGTAGAGCATGCAACTCTTGGTCTCGGAGTTGTGAGTTCAAGCCCCATGTTCGGTGTAGAGATTACTTAAAAATAAAATCTTAAAAAAAATAAAGAGACACAGTTTATTGATTTGGGAAGGATATAATATAACCACATTTGGTTATTACTGGAAGAAAGATGCCAAAAATTATACTAATTCAGTTTTAGGATTGAATTGAATTCCAGTTAAAGTGAAATTAGTTTTAATAGCATGTCAACTCAGGAATTCAGGTAAAACTGAGTCTTGGTTTGTATACTTAGAAACTAATTTGCTGAATTCTGTGGTTCCTGGACATCTAAAGTCTGTCTGGAGCTTAATCTTTTTTTTCTGATGTTTACTAGTAGAGTAGTTGCTGGGCATGTTCTGTGAATTTATCTTAATGGTTCCCTGGAGCACTGTGTAGTTTTATGGTTAATCACTGTGGTTTTAAAAAAAAAAAAAACCTCAATTATACATTGGAGCACTGATCATTTTCTGAAATCCTTAAAAAACTTTTTGCTGTATATTATTTAACTTTAGCTTGGAAATTGTGAAGACTTTTGCTGATGTGGGTCTGAGTGTCATGGTTTCTTATTGCAGGGATACCACTTTAGGTGGATCCGTGAACACTGTGTCTGAACTGATTGACTACATAGGGTGGCTGTCCACTACTGCAATGCGCTTGGAAAGCAACAATACTTTCTTACTGCACTTTATTTTGGATTTCTATGAGAAGGTAGTACACATCCCATATCGTCTATTTTGATTTTTGTGTTGGCTGTCTGCTTTACTGGTCTATTATTTAAATTTTATGTACAACTATTAAGTTGGACTGTGACTATGTTTAACACAGTTAAAATAAGCTTCTTATTTTGAAGTTCATGATTAGATTCTCACCTGAATAACTGATTTTCATAAAATGGAGAAACAAATGGTTTTGGTGAAAAGTTCAGGTACTGCTTTAATAGACATTCCCCTGAAGAATGCTGACCCTTGGCAGAAGTCTGTCTATAGCATCACTTTTTACTCATTCATTGTACATTCCAAACTCCTGGCAAAACCCAAAAAATACCCTGTTGTTTCTTCATATATCCACTTCTACCTTTCAAAACATCTATGATTATGGTCTTCTTATATTTTGTAGTATTTGATATGGACAAAACTATTATCCTGGAAGTACCTACTAATCTCAGTTTTCTTGGCTTCCTCCCTGCACTAATTGTCTTGTGCTATATATTTTAGAAGCATGCTCATTTTCCATGTTGATAGCTAACTAATATGATAAATCACTATTAATGGGATTAATACTCCTTTAAGGACTCCCTTCTCCTCTCTTCCCAACTTAAAGCCCTCTCCCCAGGAAAAAATGGAATATTTTAGTAATGACATTGTAGAAATAATCCTCTATGGCAAGTTTGATGTTTAGTGAGGTACATTTTTAAGCAGGCTGTGATTACCTATTCAATTTATGAATCAGGCAGACCCAAATCTGATGTTCTATTATTGCTTATTCTCTATTGATAAATCTTTGGGTGAACTTGGTTGAGGCGTTCTGGGAAACAATCTGTATACTGATGTTATCATTCTTCCCAAAAGGTATGTGACATATATGTAAATTATAACCTTCCACTAGTGGTATTGTTTCCTCCGGGGATCTTCTATCCTGCTCTCCTCAGCCTAGATTCCAGTATCCTGAACCAGCTGTGTTATATCATGGACAGGTACAAAACATTTTTACTGTTTTATATAAATTAACACATCATACTTCTATCTTTGTTTTTCAACTATACAGTAAATTATAATTTATACCCTGTAATATATTGTATACAATAAAATATTAAAGACAATAAAACTATTTTTATTTCCTGCCAGAACCTATTGAAATAGGAAACATGTCTTTCTTTTGGTAATGACCTTCTGATATGGGACTATTTTAACTGTGTTTTTGAAATGTCACCATGGGGGATATGGTTTTAAAAAATTCATAGTTAATGGTAATAAAAGGCACAGCATGAATAATATAGTCAGTGATATTGTAATAGCATTGTATGGTGACAGCTACAGTGGTAGACATAGCATAATGTATATACTTGTCAAATCACTGTGTGGTACATTTGAAACTAATGTAACATTGTGTGTCAGCCACACTCAAATTTTAAAAAATTAAAAAAAAACATTCTTAGTTAACAAATCTTTTGTGCAGTGGTACTGGTGCCCTCAGCATTGTCCATTCTCATTGCTGTGTCCTAAAGAAAAATTAGTTAGTTGCTGACAACTAGTTTAGTTCTATGTAGTATCTCTGGTAAAAAGAACATTTTTAGGGCACTTGGGTGGCTCAGTTGGTTAAGCGTCCAGCTCTTGATTTTGGCTAAGGTCATGATCTCACTGTTTGTGAGTTGAAGCCCCGCATCAGGCTCTGTGCTGACAGTGTGGAGCCTGCTTGGGATTCTCTCTCTTCCCTCTCTCTCTGCCTCTACCCTGCTTTCTATCTCTCTCAAAATAAATAAATAAACTTTAAAAGAAGTGAACATTTTCTGGTAGATGAGGGGAGCTATTGCCAATTATATGAAACTGTAAGAGGAGTTTCTGATCCCCTCTAATTCTTTCACTTACAGACTGAAATTACTCTTTTTATTTTTTAAATGTTTATTTATTTATTTTGAGAGAGAGCACGCATGTGAGCAAGGGAGGGGTGGAGAGAGAGGTAGAGAATCCCAAGCAGGCTCTGGCCCTTCAGTGCAGAGCCTGATGTGGGGCTTGATCCCACGAACTGTGAGGTCATGACCTGAGCTGAAATCAATAGTCGGATGCTTAACCGACTGAGCCACCCAGGTGCCCCTGAAATTCCTCTTTTAGTCCACAATTGTCGTAGACCCCTTTGGCATAACTTTAAGGATTATACCAAGGTTAGAATGTTTATAAACTAATTAGTAATTGTTCCCAGGCAAGAAAAAAATAAATTTATAAGTTTCCCGTTTATCCTTTCCACTGTACCTTTTTTTTTTTCAACGTTTATTTATTTTTGGGACAGAGAGAGACAGAGCATGAACGGGCGAGGGGCAGAGAGAGAGGGAGACACAGAATCGGAAACAGGCTCCAGGCTCTGAGCCATCAGCCCAGAGCCCGACGCGGGGCTCGAACTCACGGACCGCGAGATCGTGACCTGGCTGAAGTCGGACACTTAACCCACTGCGCCACCCAGGCGCCCCAACTGTACCTTTTTTCTACATTAAGAACATGTTTTATATTAGTGACTGCTCTTGAGCCTCTATTAATTTTTTATAATGAAACATTAAAAGTATTTCCTTCATTGGTTTTTCTTTTTTATTCAGGCAGCTAAAATTTACATATAGTTAAGTGCATATCTTAAATGTACAACTCAATATTTGAGCCTCTATTAACTTTTATCTTTAAGAGGAGTGTAGCACAGAAGAATAAAAACCTTAACTAGGCAGCTGGTTATTTGTGTATGTCACATCTGCATATATTTACATTTAAAATGGACACTTTTGGGGTGCCTGGGTGGATCAGTTGGTTAAGCGGCTGACTTCGGCTCAGGTCATGACCTCATGGTTCATGGGTTTGAGCCCCACGTCAGGCTCCATGCTGACAGCTCAGAGCTTGGAGCCTGCTTTGGATTCTGTGTCTCCCTCTCTCTCTGCTCCTTCCCCATTCACGCTCTGTCTCTCTCTCAAAAATAAATAAACATTAAAAAAATTTTAATGTACACCTTTATGTTTACACATTTCAAAAGCATTCAATGTTCAAAATTTCATTCTGTTCTCCATTTTAGGTATCGTAAAAATTTGACTGCTGCAAAGAAAAATGAGTTGGTACAAAAGGTATAGATGACAAAGCTCTGTATTAAATCACCATTGTTGAAAAATTGAGTTTGGATATATATGATCTATTGGGAATAAGAAGGAAAGGAAGAAAAGATTATAATGAGAATATTTCTTTTCTTTCCCAACAGACAAAATCAGAGTTCAATTTCAGCACCAAGACCTATAAAGAATTTAATCACTATTTGACAGTGATGGTTGGTTGCCTGTGGACATCCAAACCTTTCCAGAAAGGATTGTATATTGACCATGAAGTCATAGAAAAAGCTGGAGTAGCAGAGTATAAAAGCAGTTTAAATTTAGTTCATCACCCAGCTCTATTGAGTTATACAGTTTCCTTTCTGCTCCAGGTAAGGACGTTTAAAGGATTTTTAGATTTTATATAGGAGTGCTATAATGGCAGAAATAGGAAATGCAATAAATTGTGTCTGAATTGTAAGACGTGTTCATTCATTCCTTTTTTGGTGTCAGCTCGATTTTTGGACATTGTGCTAGGTTCTGGAGGTTCAAAGTTAATTTAAGTAAGTTTCTATCCTCCCAAGGAGGATTATCCTCCAGGCTTGGGCTTGTGGCAAAGACAGACTTGTAAACATTATTACAATATAGTGAGGTGAAATGAGAAAAAGGTACCGTTGTGAGAAAGATGGGGGAGTGATTGTTAGTTCAGTTCTACTTGGGTAGAGATGGTACCAGGTAAGAAATGGCTGTGAAGAAGTGGAAACTCTCATAAAATCCTTCTAGACAAGATGGAAAATGTAGGCTACACTAAAGACTGCTGATTTGATGGCTGTCACTGTGCTGGCAGGGAGGGGGTCCAGTCTTCTTAGGACTTTATCAGCCTTGTCATTTTCACCACTATCAGTGACTTGAGGAATTCAAATGGTGTGCATATCAAATGTGTAAATGACACAATATGATGGGATTACAGATACACTGATAGAATCTAAATTCAGAATTCCCTTAACAGATTGGAACACTGAGAAATCTAATAAGATGGAAAAGAAATGTACAGGAGGGGGGAGATATTTATTGAATAAATGCTTAATATATGCATGTAATGAATCAGGCAATGTGGTAAACAAGACACATCTGGGTGTTGTCCTCAGTGTTTGCAGTCTAGATAGGGTGGTGGTCATTAAATAGACATCTTAGAATAAAGAATGATGAGTAATATAGGGAAAGTACAGAGGACATTGAAAAAAATATACAGGGGTACTAACCCAGTTCAGGCTTTACAGAAGTGGTGCCAGTCAGAGCTTTGAGTGATGAGCATGATCTTGCCAAGATGGAGAAGTATTTGAAGAAAAATGCAAAGATAGATAAGGGGTCAGTAGACTTTTTCCATTAGAGGCCCAGATTGTAAATATTTTAGGCTTTGCAGGCCATGTTGTCTCAATCAAGACTACTCAGCCTTGTCATTGTAGCATGAAAGTAGCAATAGACAGTAGGTAAACAAATGGGCTGAGTTGTGTTCTAATGAAAATTTATTTACAGAAACAGGCATTGGGTTGGATGTGAGACCTGGGCCGTGGTTTGCTGACCCCTCTTTTAGAGCTTACCACGTTTGGGGAACTTAAGTAGAATTGTAGGGCTTGAGCAGGGATTCTCCCTTAACTGAGAAGAAGTACCCAGGGTGCTTTTCTAAAGTATACATCCTTGATGCTCCCACCCTGAGATTCTGATCTAATAACAATGTGGTGACATCCAGAATCTGCTTTTTTAATATAATTGTTGTGATATACAACCAGGGTTGAGAACCACTAGTTTAGACTGTAGCATTATAGGATATGAGGTTTTGAAGTGTAGTCAAGGACCAGATGGTGAAAAAATTAGTATGTAGGCCTTCAGAAACATATTGAATGATTTCAGTATTTGAATTAAAATTATATTTTTAAGTACATAGAGGGATTTCAGAGGTGTATAGTTTAGTGATTTTCTGATATTCGTTCTTCTCTGTTTTTCTCATCTTCATAATAATTTGATTTATTTATATATATATATATATATAAACTTGTTTCAAATTCATAGTATTTATATTACTATTAATAGTGAGACTACTGGATGAAATTTGAAATAATTTTAGTTCTTTTTGCTTCTGGACTAAATCCTACTAAAACTGTACAGAGCATGTACTGTATTTTATATACATTTAGGTATATTTGTTTCAGTTTCTTTTCATGCTTTAGAGGTTACTTTTAACATAGAATATGTAAAACATTTACCTAGTTCCAAATCTAAACTGTAGAAATGTCTCTTCCATCCTTGTCTCCTTCTTCTTCTCTCTTCTTTGTCTTTAGGTAGCCATTTTTATTGCTTCTTGTTTTAACCATCCAGTGTTTCCTTTCTTTAACTTAGTAAACATTGTTTTATAATCTGTCTGATAATTCCAGTATCAGAAGTGTTTGTGTGTACTGCTTGCCTCCTTTTTCTGCTGCTTCTTCCTCATATTGCTTAATTTCTTTGTGTGTCTGGTTATCTTTGGCCATGTGCTGGATACCTGGAATATTATCTGTAGAAGGAATCAGATTAGAGTGAGATCTTCCTGTAGAGAGAACTTTCATTTACTTCCATAGATACCTAGGAGTGCTCTTTGGGACTACCCTAATCCAAGTACTATGCCTAAGGTTCCCTTGATCATAGGTGGATAGACCAGCCTTTGAGAAGGCGAATTTACTTCTGATAAACTCTTACCTTGAAGGTATAGCCTTTTGGGTCTCTAGTTTAAATTGGGGGTTGGGTTATAAGACTTCCTACTTTGGCAGAACCTGTGCTTTGACTTTAGTTACCTTTGCCCTTTGAAGCTGTGGAAGAAAAGCCAAGAGCGACTTTGAGAATGAGGTTTACCCATCTGGCTTCTCACGTTCTAGATACTGGCTTACCTTTCCATAGATTTTGGCATTCCTTACCATAGCATTAGGTCTTTGTTACATTTTTTTACAAAACTTTTTTCATGTTGTAAATTTCAAACATACACAAGTAGAGAGAATAGTAAAATAAATCCCCACATACCCATCACCCAGTTCAGTCTCTACTCCCAACCGGTTCTAACCCTCTCACCCCACCCAGTTACTTTGAAGCAAATACCAAATGTTATACAATTTTCCTGTAAATACTTCATTATATACCTCTAAAAGATAGGGCACTTTAAAAAAATTAGTCTTTTTGGGAGGGAGGAGAGGGTGGGAGATGGGTACTGAGGAGGGCACCTTTTGGGATGAGCACTGGGTGTTGTATGGAAACCAATTTGACAATAAATTTCATATATAAATAAAAAAAAATTAGTCTTTTTAAAACAGCTTTATTAAGATATAATTCAAATACAGTATAATCCACACATTTAAACTATACAGTTCAATGGCTTTTAGATTATTCACAGAGCTTTGCCTTCATGACAATATATTTTATAATATTTTTATTATCCTGGAAAGAAAATCTACACCCCTTAGCTGTCACTTCTGTCTCCCCATTCCCTGCCCCCATCCTAGGCAAATACTAATCTATTTTTATATCTATGTAGATTCACTTATTCTGGAATTTCATAAAAATAAACTCATAAAATATATGTTATTTTGTGACTGGTTTCTTTTACTTAGCATAATGTTTTCAAGGTTTATCTATGGCATAGCATGTATCAGTATTTCATTTGTTTTTATTGCCAGATAATATATTTTTGGGGCAGATATATTTCATTTTGCTTATCCATTAGTTGATGGACTTTTGGGTTATTTCCACTTTTTAGCTATTGTGAATGATGTTTCTATAAGGATTTGTATACAAGGTTTTGTGTGAACATGTTTTCATTTCTCTTGGGGATATACTTAGAGGTGGGAGCGCTGGATTATATGGTATAATCCATGTTTAATTATTGGAGGAACTTCCAGACTGTTTTTGAAAGTAGCTGTACCATTTTGCATTTGTACCAACAGTGTGTGAGGGTTCTGTTTTCCCCATATCTTCCCCAAGACTTGTTATTCTTTTTTTTATTCTAGCCATCCTAGAGGGTGTGATACAGTACCATATTGTGGTTTCAGTTTTTATTTCCCTGATAGCTCTTTATGTTCAGCACCTTTTTATGTGCTTATTGCCCATTGCCCATTATATATTTTCTTTGGAAAAAGGTCTGTTCAGACCTTTTGCCCATTTTTTAAAGTTTATTTATTTTGAGAGAAAGAGAGAATGAGCAAGTGAAGGGCAGAGAGAGAGGGGGACAGATGATGTGCAGCGGGATCTGTGCTGACAGCAGAGAGTGAGATGCAGGGCTCGAACTCAAGAACCATGAGATCGTGACCTAAGCCAAAATCAAGAGTCAGACCATTTTTTTGGTTTACTTTTACTTTAAATTAGTTTATTCTGGGGGCGCCTGGGTGGCTCAGTCAGTTAAACGTGTGGCTTCAGCTTAGGTCATGATCTCCTGGTCTGTGGGTTCGAGCCCTGCAAAGGTCACTGTGCTGACAGCTCAGAGCCTGGAGCGTGCTTCAGATTCTGGGTTTCCCTCTTTCTCTGCCCCTCCCCCACTTGTGCTCTGTCTCTCTCTCTCAAAGATAAATGAACATTTAGAAAAATAAAAAATAAATTAGTTTATTTTTAATGTATTTGTTTTATTGTTATCGACTCATTGAGAATCGTTTCTATATTCTAGATTACTTATCAGAGAAATGATTTATAAAAGTTTTCTATTCTGTGAGTTGTCTTTTCATTGTTGCTGTCTTTTGAAGGACAAAAGTTTTTAATTTTGTTGAACTTTTAATTTATGAATTTTTTTCCTTTATCATTTGTGCTTTTGAAAAATGACTTTGTATGTCCTTGTCTCCCCAGCACCTGGCAACCACCATTCTGCTCTCAATTTCTAGGAGTATGTTTGTTTATTTATTTATATGTTTATTTTTGAGAGAGAGTGAGCACGAGTGGGGGAGGTGCAGAGAGAGAAAGGGAAACCGAGCATCTGAAGCGGGCTCCACACTGGCAGCAGAGAGATCATGACCTGATCCGAAGTTGGATGCTCAACCAACTGAGCCCCCCGGGTGTCCCAAGTTTGATTATTTTAGATTCACCATATAAGTGGTACCATGTAATATTTGTCCTTCTGTGTTTAGCTTATTTCACCTAGCATAATTTCCTTCAGGTTTATCCATGTTGTCATAAATGGCAGGATTTCTTCCTTTTTTTAATTAAAAATTTTTTATAGATTTTTTAATTTTTCATTTTTCTTTCTATAATTTATTTGTTTTTTTAAATTTATACCCAAGTTAGTTAGCACATGGTGCCACAATGATTTCAGGAGTAGA